GGATTTATTCATTTAAAAAAAGCGACATTAATTTATTGACGACCTTGTGTAAATAGGAAAAGAAGGTTTCTTACACATACATTCTTTGCACTCCCGAGAGTTAAAGAACGAGAAAATGATTCGATAACTTTCCAAATTTTTGTAAATTTAAATTTTGTTCGATTAAACCGTTCACATCTATATATCGTAAATGTGTTAAGTCGTAAGTGAAGGTAACGGTCATAAGTATTTTTTAATTATTTAATCACTATAAGAAATGTGATAAAAGATAGTAAGATTGATTAAGCAGTAGGACGCAAATTGCGTACTGATTATATTTAAATACCATGTTTGAAAACAACAAATAAATTGTAATTCGTTAAGGTTACCATAACATTTTCGACCTTATTATTCTTTGAAATACTGGAAATCTCCATAAAATCCTCGAATTTATCATTGTTTGAAATAGCGGAAATCTCCATAAAATGGTTGAACCTATCAATGTTTGAAACAATGGAAATCTCTGCAAAATCTTCGAACCTATCATGCTTTGAAACAATGAAAATATCCCAGAATTGTTCGAACCTATCATTGTTTGAAACAATGGAAATCTCGGCAAAATATTCGAACCTATCATTCTTTGAAACAATGGAAATCTCCGTAAAATGTTCGACTCCATCATTCTTCGAAACAATGAAATATCCCAGAATTGTTCGAACTATCATTGTTTGAAAGAATTGAAATCGACATAAAATGTTCGAACTTATTATTGTTTGAAACAATAGAAATCTTCATAAAATATTCGAACCTATCATTGTTTTAAGTAATGGGAATATCAATAAAACGTTGAAACCTATCAGTTTTTTGAAATAATGGAAATCTAAATATAATTTTCGAATCTGTTACTGTTTGGAATAATGGAAATTAACATAAATGCTCTAACCTATCATTTTTTAAAATAATTATAATTTAGATAAAATGTTCGAACATATTACCGTTTAATTAATGGAAATCTACTTAAAATCTTCGTACCTATCATTGTTTGAAACGATGAAAATCTACATAAAATGTTCGAACCTATTATCGTTTACGTAATGGAAATCTACTCAAAATGTTCGAACCTATGATTGTTTGAAACAATCGAAATATTCAGAAAATGTTCGAACCTGTCACTGTTTGAAACAATGGAAATCTACTTAAAATATTCGAACCTATCATAGTTTGAAACGATGAAAATCTACATAAAATGTTCGAACCTATCATTGTTTGAAAGAATTGAAATCTGCATAAAATGTTCGAACCTATTATTGTTTACGTAATGGAAATATACTCAAAATGTTCGAACCTATGATTGTTTGAAACGATCAAAATATCCAAAAAATGTTCGAACCTGTCACTATTTGAAACAATGGAAATCGTCATAAAATATTCGAACCTATCATTGTTTTAAATAATGGGAATATCAATAAGACGTTGGAACCTATCAGTTTTTTGAAATAATGGAAATCTAAATATAGTTTTCGAACCTGTTACTGTTTGGAATAATGGAAATTAACATAAAATGCTCGAATCTATCATTGTTTCAAATAGAGGAAATCTTCATAAAACGCTCGAACCTATCATTGCTTGGAATAATGGAAATATTCATAAAATGCTGAAACCTATCATTTTTTAAAATAATTATAATTTACATAAAGTGTTCGAACCTATTGCCGTTTAAGTAATGGAAATCTACTTAAAATATTCGAACCTAACATTGTTTGAAACGATGAAAATCTGCATAAAATGTTCGAACCTATCATTGTTTGTAATAATAGAAATCTCCATAAAATGTTTGAACCTATTATTGTTTGAAACAATGAAAATCTTCATAAAATATTTGAACCTGTCATTGTTTTAGGTAATAGGAATCTCCATAAAACGTTGGTACCTATCATTGTTTGAAATAATGGAAATCGACATAAAATGTTCGAACCTATCATTGTTTGTAATAATAGAAATCTCCTTAAAATGCTTGAACCTATTATTGTTTGAAACAATGGAAATCTTCATAAAATATTTGAACCTGTCATTGTTTTAAGTAATAGGAATCTCCATAAAACATTGGTACCTATCATTGTTTGAAATAATGGAAATCTTCAGAACTGTATGTTCAGTCTTTTAATATAGAGCTGCTATTCCACTTAGATACTCTACCACCGAATGTGTACATTCTACATTTTCTCCTACATAATATTTGGTACACGATAAGAAGTCCTTTATAACCGTGAATTATTTATGGGGACTTGTTTCCCAGAGTTTAAACTTATACATTTTTTCGTATGACTGTTATCTTATATTATATAGCCTTCATAATTTCTTTCATAAAACTTATCTATCACAGTTTTACAATAAAAAATATGTGTCGTTCCTCTATGTCAATTATTTTATTTGGAGCCACACCCTCATCTTATGACTATGCAGTAAGTTTGAGGGTTTATAACGCTAAAATTCCAAGTTCGGTTTTTGCGGTGGCTCTAGCACGTATAGCCCATTGTTTTGTTGTTAAGTATAAAACTTTCAAAACGAGACTAATAATTATACCCATAAGCATGTTTATATAATTATAGTGAGGGTTTTGCTATTTCATTCATGATAATTTTCCTTGGATTCATTTTACTTTATATTCAAGGAAACTGTTTCTTTACAGATATTTTGTTTGTCAAAGAAAATAATAATTGTATTTTGTATTTATGACAAATCAACTAAGACTATCAACTAGAGGGAAGATATCCAGTCAACAGCACCCATAATCCACTCTTAGGATTGACTAACATTCTTATAACTCACCCATAGCTTAAAATACAGTGAATATTTTGTGATATCTCACGAATTCGAACCTGTCTCACCAGCTACAAAATTTAGAGTTCTACCCACGCCTTTAAAGAAAATAACGTTTGCTAGGTAACAAAATCGCGTATTGCAATGTGACTACCATCAAGTGTATGTATATCTTGAATAAAATAGCCAGTATCTACTGATACGTGAAACCTTACAAATATTTTTTTTCTATCATGACTTTATTGGTCTTGCCGGAATCTGGTCGGGTTAAACGTTGTGGAGCAAAACAGCAACACTAGAGCGTGACTGGATCAGATGTGGTGGGAAATCATCCACCTGCACCAGTAAACCTCAGTCCGTGAGAACATAAGCGTCTGTGGAAGAAAGTGACCTTTGTCCTGTACGGTTGTTAGGTGCGTTAACATCTTTCCTTTCCCTGTATCACAACGAAGCTTGCATGAAAACCTGAAATTTGACTGAACGGAATAGAATTTATCAGGGAAACAGCGCTACTGTTGAATTTAAGTAAAATAAGAAAAATAAAAACAAAACTACTGATTTTAAGTAACAATATAGTGGTATAAGACAAGTGTTGCACAAATGAAAGTAACGGTAGTGTGATATAACAAAACTCGTTTTCGTAGCATAAATGTTCGTTATAATCAAGGAACAATTACAACACAATTATAGGGTAGAGAAATTTGTTACAACACAATTGTCGGGCAGAGTAGAGGAACTTTGTTACAACACAATTTTCGGTATGGTAGAGAAACTGTTACAACACATTTGTCGTGTAGAGTAGAGGAACTTTGTTTCAGCACAATTTTCTGGTATGGTAGAGAAACATTGTTACAATACAATTGTCGGATAGAGTAGAGAAACTTACAACACATTTGTCGTGTAGAGTAGAGAAACTTTGTTACAACACATTTGTCGTGTAGAGTAGAGGAACTTTGTTACAACACAATTTTCTAGTATGGTAAAGAAACATTGTTACAATACAATTGTCGGGTAGAGTAGAGGAACTTTGTTACAACACAATTTTCGGGTATGGTAGAGAAGATTTGTCGAATATAGTAGAGAAACTGTTACAACAAAAGTTTTAAATATGATAAGTAAACTCTATTGCAACTTTACTGTTGGATATTTTAAAGAAATACTGCCAGCCTTCCATCAAAATTTCAGTTACAAATACAATTTGTGTTATACTTGGAATTACTCAGTTAAGTTTTAACTTAAAATGTAATATGCAAGTATAGCTAGTGTCACACTCAAGATCTTCAGGTGAGAAATTCTAAATCCAAGTAGACGTTTTTGTGTCGAGTTTCCATC